AACGGAAGCCCTGTTTTTTTGGGGGGAATGTTTGCGAATCCACCTTACTGGATGGTACCTTGAAAACTTTTTTTTTTACATTTTTGTGCTGACACCCTAACATAAATTACACCAGTTTACTTTATTTTAGAAAATCATATGTCGCTGGCGTATTACTTGAGTGTGCATATATATTATATTTTTTCACCAGGGTAATTAGGTCATACTGGGGAATTCCGTAAAGATATGGGTGAAGGCAGTACCTTATCACCGAAAACGAAAGGAAATGCGCGACAAGAAACAAATAATTCACGTGAAATGAAAACTAAATCGAAAATGAATTGCAACCGACATTTATAGGAACTGAAACTGAAAAAACTTGGATATTAAATAGATATTAGTGTAAATAGTTTGATTGTATTATTGTTATTGTCTTGTGATGTTGTTGTCTATGCTGGTTTTATCGGTAATTATAACACACTATTGGCGTTATCGCGCATAGGAAATGAAAGATATACACCTTTGTCAAAGACACACTGAGGTAACCGACACGGTCCGGCCTAGGCGTGTATCGAACACTCTCTTCTTGGTCCACTAGTTACGCAGCTCGATTGATTGTGTAGTGTGTTTGTTGTGGGGCGGTCAGGTTTTAAGAGAGATGATGGTTGAGTAGGTAAAATTGCAAAATAATTTTGCATATCCAAATCGACCGCCTCCAGAGTGTCAGCTACGACTGTATGGCCCAAGATATCTAACTATACTCTATCCAAATACGTGCTTGCACACAAGCTCCGGCGACAACGTTTTATTTATAATCGGAAAAAAGTGTCATCGACTAAGTTCAGTATAGCATCATTATAATTTTGTGGCTCGTGTACGAAATGTACGGTGTAATGATAATTTTATTCGTACATATGGTGGCTCATTTGGCCGTTATTATGTTAACGATTGTGTTATGAGACTCAATTTGTATGCGCTTTTCACAAGATCAACTCCTTCCTGTCATTAGTCTGACCTTTTAGGTTAAATAATTAAATTTTTTGGAGAAGTAGGTGCGTGTTACTACGTTTTGGGACATTTAAATTATCACGTAATGTTTTTTTATCTTCTTTTTATATGATCAGATTTAAGCACTGGTATAAGCTTAGTAGTTTATGCAAGATATTTTGACGGAAGTAAGAATCGGAAATACAATTATTATATCGCTGAGCGAATTCGGTAAATTACTATTTCTGCCATTACTAGTCGTTGTGATAATTGGTTTTCGCTGTCTGATTGCGTTTCAGTATCTCTGAGCGTCTGAATTAATTCTATCAGCTATCATTAATAGTGAAGTTACATATTCTGATATTGCCTGCTTTTTTGTATGTAAATAACCTTTTATGTAAAACTTCCCCGTCTTTTTAATTTCCTGCTGGGTGCTGACCTTACACACAAATATTGTTCAATTTTTTATTTATGTTTTATTATGCTGGTAGCAATATGTCACGTTTGCTAAGCCATAGCTATAAAGTCAGGCTTAAGCTAAAATCTACCTTTCTCGGGAATATAACTCGAGTCGGCGAAAGCGAAAGATCGCACGACTTAACAAAGGATTGCCGTTATCACACCTATATGTTAAAGGTTAGTTCCAGGATCAAAGAGAGGCTCGAGGGGTGAGCGGGAGTGTTCTTATCCGTCCCCACGTTGACAGACAGCGAGACAGACATTGGCGGAGAAGTTTTATTGGATCAGTTCACAGCGATATCCAATCGGAATTGAGTTAGATGGTTTGATTACATTTCAGACCCGAATGATACTTTCCGAACTCGTAAGAGAAAAGTTAGTATTCGCGTCAAGGATTGCAGATCAATAATGTTTACTCCAAGAAAAGAAGCCACTCGTAATTTGGAGGCAAAACTTAGAATTAGATTCTAACTAAGGACAGAGTTTCGAAAAAGTCAGTAAGTTATTTGCTCGATTTTTGCAGAATATTACGGCATCATAATTGTTATTATTTGTAGTATGTATACTTAATTACTTACTAGAATCGTTTAATATGTAGATGCGAAGAGGACATATGTAGAATATTAGCTTGTGATCAGAATTAATTTTGTAATTAGCTATTAGGTTACTTCGTAGTAAACCAGTGCAGTTATTAATGCGTCACTTTAGAATTTACACATGTTTGAATTGTAAATTTGGAAAGATGGTTGAAGTATGTAAGATTAGTTACTAAGGATGTATGCATATATCAGAGCATGGATATGCGAATATTTGGGCACTTTTTATGAGTTATATGGTAAAGAAATGCGTCTGATTATTTTGATATTGTTTAGTATAACAGGATTAGGAATGTGCACTGATGTGAAGGAATTTATTGATGTATGTATAAGAAGTAATTGATACCGTGCTGTATTATGACATTTGTTTTACCATACATGAACGTATGGGTATCTCGATGTGAACGAATGCGTAACCGAAGAAAATTAATAGCCGTTATCTGATGATAGGCTGTGTGTAGTGTGAAATGAGAGGGCTAAGGAAACTTTTGTGCCGTCCTTGTGCTTTCACAGTAAGGTTTTTTAGGAGACAGAGAACTACCGGTTCTATTGGGTCGCAAGTCTTCAAGAATTGGAGTCGGAATTGAGACTGTTGCCGAGACAGTCGAAGTCGACAGAGAGTAGTTGTGGTAGAGAAAGTTGAGGAGGAGTCTAGAATGAATTTGTAGATAAGTCGGGTTAGAAGAGGTGAAGGAATTGGGAGAAAAAGGATAGAGAAGGGATATAACAGATGAGTAGAAATACAAGGACAAGTGGAAATCAATCTCACACTGCCAATCAAGTTGATGATATAGACTTATTAAAGGGTCGAGCGGAAGGAGTGTAATTGGACATTTGAGTCATTTGATTATTGAATTGTTCTTAAATTGTTATTCATTGATTTTCAACCTTTTTTGTGCATAATTGACCATCTAACCATCAGCATTGCTGATTGGTGGCTTGGAGTTTTACACCTATCATTCATTATATTTAACTTCCTACAAAACAGGACGTGGATGGGACTTCTATAATACTATAAATAAAATAGCAGGAGCACCCCACTCCAACCATATACTTCGTCACAAAATATATGTACATTATATGCTATCATATACAAACATACATAAATGTAAAATCACCAAAAAGTATAAAAAAGACACGTCTTTAATCTCCACGAATGAAGCTGCTTTTTATATGAGCTGTCTCAGTGCAATTTGCATCTGTTATTCCTGCGTTAACATCTTAATTTAGAATTTTATGTAGTCCAATCGTAACATTTTATCAGCTCCGTTTAATGTATTAATAATGTTTCAATAGCATGATAGTATTTCAGTAGTAAGATACGGAATAGCATGATAGTATTTCAGTAGTATGATACCGAATAGCATGATAGTAATTCAGTAGTAAGATACAGAATAGCATGATAGTAATTCAGTAGTAAGATATGGAATAGCATAATAGTAATTCAGTAGTAAGATACGGAATAGCATGATAGTAATTCAGTAGTAAGATACGGAATAGCATGATAGTATTTCAGTAGTAAGATACGGAATAGCATGATAGTATTTCAGTAGTAAGATACGGAATAGCATGATAGTAATTCAGTAGTAAGATACGGAATAGCATGATAGTATTTTAGTAGTAAGATACGGAATAGCATGATAGTATTTCAGTAGTAAGATACGGAATAGCATGATAGTAATTCAGTAGTAAGATACGGAATAGCATGATAGTATTTCAGAAGTAACGTATACATGAAGCTTTGACATCTCTGAAAATGCAGAAGTCAAGGAAGTAGCCTCTCAATTAATGGTTTTCTTGTTTTCGTACAGTAGTAACGTACGTGGTCTAGCGGTCATATTCAAATATTTGGTGTGTTTAAGTAGAATGTGATATCTTACACTAATTGTATTTATTCAGTGAACCGTTTCATTTTATTTGTTTTGCTTGGGAGACAAGTAGTCATTTAGAAGGTCAAACTAACACAAAATTAGCAGGAAGTCTTGTAGTCTTGTACATTACCTAATTATGTTGTAGACGGGCTACAAGAAGAGATGACCCACCTTCTAGAATATGACGAAGAAAATCTCCTTTTTTGTCGCAAAAACGTTTACATTTATTCCAAATGTGCTATAACTTCTACTGAAATGTAATTTTGAGAATTTGAACTAATTTGCATCAACTCTTTTCACTATCTTCTTTCTAGCTACCTTTATCTCTCCATATCTTCTTTGTCTCTCTTTTATATACTTACTGAGACATAAATATATATCCTGATACTAAAGCTGACAACGACGCCGGAACCTAAGTGGTATCCTGACGTCTTGTTTACCTACGCACTGTATCCCCTTTTCTTCATCTGGTGTGTAGAATACTTCTTTTCCAATTAATTGTGAATTGTTCAGAATTATGTGTTAAGCTTCTACTTTTTATCACCTACCCCACCCCAACCTCTTGGAATTGTTCTTTTTCTTCACTGACAATTTACTTCTATCTTCAGTTTGAAAACAACCCGACATTTACATCATTACTACACTGGAACTTGGTACGTTTAAGGAGACTCGGTCAGACAAGAAATGGACGGAAAGAAAATTTATCATTAGTTGGATGGAGAAACGCTACATATGAGGTGACTTAAAGCCATAAGAACCTTGGCATGCGAATAAAAGAAAAATAAATTGCACGAATCAATAAATAAAGCAGGTGATTTTGATATTCGTTGATTCATTGGAAACAACAGTCTCTGACTAACATATAATAATAGATTGTTTTGGAATCAAGCCAAACAAATACACTGTGTATCATGTACCATGTATGGCGAAGTTGATTTACTAAATCTACTTAGTAATTGGTATCAGATTTATTCGCAATAGAATACATTTAAAGGTATCGATGCAATTTTGTAGCTGACTAGCAGTAAACTTGGCTAACAGCTCTCTCTCTCTCTCTCTCTCTCTCTCTCTCTCTCTCTCTCTCTCTCTCTCTCTCTCTCTCTCTCTCTCTCTTGACTTAAGTGGTTAGAGAGTCCGCCTCAGATGTGGAAGGTCGCGGGTTTGGATCCCAGCCGAGTCAATTCAAAGACTTATATAAATGATACAAACAAATGCCTCGCTTGGCGCTCAGCATTAAGAGTTTGGTGTTATGACTGGTCGGCCTGGTGTCAGGTTAATATGCCTGGGCGGTACATGATGTTACATGTCTGCGGCATGATGCCCTATTGCTAAACGTAAATACAGTCAAACCCGGTTTTCTCGATTAGGTCGTGTGTGTAAAAAAATCGTCGACATAACCAGGTCTTGAGATATCCGGGTTCATAAAATCCAGCAACATATTTTTTAAGATATCCTTGACCATTACTCCCGTCTCTTGCTCTTGTGTTTAACTGGAATCCCCTCCCATTGCATGTTACAATAAAATATAAAAAGCTTAATTGATAATAAATGAAAGAAACTGTCCTGGTGTTGTAATTATTTATTCCTTTTTTATCATCATGAGCAATTTATTAAAGAAAAAATATATGAACTCCGTATATCACATGTAACCGCTCCGGTGGCCTAGTGGTTAAAGCGTCCGCCTCGGATGAGGGAGATCGTAGGTTCGATCCCCGGTTAAGTCATACCAAGGACTTACAATGGTACTAACAGCTGCCTGGCTTGACGCTCAGCATTAACAGGTTAGTATTAGGACTAGTCGGCCTGGTGTCAGAATAATGTGACTCGTGGGACATTATGCTACATGTCTGCGGCATGATGCCCCAGTGCTTGATATCACTATAAACTGCCACACTGCAGACATTGTAGCGATATGACTGAAAAATTGTTCAAGATACGTTAAAAATCATAATCACATCACATCATATCACACATATCACATCACATCACATATATCACATGTAGTGTATCATTCATACTGTAGCGTGCATTACTTATATCATATAACATACGATGCATTGAAAAACAAATCAAACTGGCATTTGCAATCGGGCTATTATATTTTGAGTTCGATGAGGGCAGAGTGTGGATTTGCGACAAAGAAGAAACCATTTTGTCAACACATATCTTGTTTTAGGCCGGTTTTGCAGTATCACTTGAGAGAGTTTGGTTTTGTGTTGCCAGTGACTTGAATTGCCTGTGTGTATGGGACTCTATTGTGTGTGTGTGTGTTTGTGTTTGTGTGTGTGTTTGTGTTTGTTTGTGTGTGTGTGTGTGTGTGTGTAAAATTATTTTGCATGGTGTTAACAAAAAAGGAGAGACAACAATTTGACAACACATTTCTTGTTTTAGGCCGGTTTTGCAGTATCACTTGAGAGAGTTTGGTTTTTTGTTGCCAGTGACTTGAATTGCCTGTGTGTATGGGACTCTATTGTGTGTGTGTGTGTGTGTGTGTGTGTGTCTGTGTGTGTGTGTGTGAAATTGCTTTGTATGGTGTTAACAAAAGAGGAGAGACCTCATGATGCTTTATGAGTGAATTTCATATTTTATCAGTTGTTGTTTAATCATGTAACTCCGACAGGTACAGATTAAGACATCAAGGGTTTCTTTTTCCTAGCGTGTGAACACCATGACTGAGACGACATGTCTGAGATAACAAGGCTGAGATAGGAAAAATAAGTTTAGGAAAACAAATAGATTTCTCTATCGCATGGAAGAGAAATTGAATACTCCTATATACACGAGGGCAGAAGACAATGAGCTGAGAGACGAAGATCAAGCAGAGTTTAGGAAATAATACTCCGCATATGACAATACGTTTATTTTTCAGGCTTAAAGCAAAAAAAATGTCTGTAAAACTAAAGGTAGATTTTATTACCTTTCTGTAAATTTTAAAAAGTTTTTGATAAAGTACGGCATAATAATTATAGTCGTCATTAATACGCAAGGATTACGTACATAAACCCGAAAAGGTGTGCCCGAACACCTAAAGGCTTAACTACGTACGTCTAATATACATTTGGTGCAAGGGAAGGTTGTATTTTAAGTCTTATCATGTTTCCATTTTTATTAACGATTTGATTACACAACTGAAGCTCGACTGCAACAGAGATGTATTTATCTCAGGAAATATTCATGATCGTTTTCAATACTTTACGCTGATGATGTTTATAATTGTGCTGATACAGAACCAAATAAATGTCATTGAGTACGAAAAAATGCAGTTTTTTAAAAGTTTTTTTTTTCTTTCTAAACCATTCAATAAAATAAATATAGCGGAGCCAATAAAAGTGTTGGAAAGTTCTCACTTATTATAATTGTGATTAGTCGCGAGGTTGCTTTGTTACAATTGCCAATACATGCTACTTTATTTGGTTCTATTTTTAATATTTTTAAACGTTTTTGCAGACACCAAAGTACAGACGAACGCAAAAGTAAAGACGAACACAAAACTACAGACCAATTAATGACTTTATATCAGAAAATCTTGTTCCACTGAAACCTAAGGCCTTGATCTTTATGTCTTGGCTGGAATGCTCCCTTATGTTCCTGCAAGTTTGGAATATTTTAGAAACTTAATACCTTTATACAGATATGCAATAATAATAATAATAATAATAATAATAATAATAATAATAATAATAATAATAATAATAATAATAATAATAATAATAATAATAATAATAATAATAATAATAATAATAATAATAATAATAATAATAATAATAATAATAATAATAATAATAATAATAATAATAATAATAATGATACTATTACTACTACCAATAATAATAATAATAATAATAATAATAATAATAATAATAATAATAATAATAATAATAATAATAATAATAATAATAATAATAATAATCCTACTACTACTAATAATACTAATAGTGATACTACTACTACTACTACTACTAATAATAATGATACTACTACTACTACTACTACTACTACTACTAATGATAATAATAACAACAACAACAATAATAATAATAATAATAATAATAATAATAATAGTAATGATGATGATGATGATGATGATGATGATGATGATGATATAAAGCAAACATTTCTTCGAATTAGACCCGTTTGAGAGAGAGAGAGAGAGAGAGAGAGAGAGAGAGAGAGAGAGAGAGAGAGAGAGAGAGAGAGAGAGAGAGAGAGAGAGAGAGAGAGAGAGAGAGAGAGAGAGAGAGAGAGAGAGATGTCTGGTTCGCCCAAAACATTGTACGTTCGGTTGCATTAACTGTTCTATTATTGCAGATTGGTTTTCACTGCCATTCCAGGCGAATAGCTAGACCATTTTTCATCATTTTTCATTTTATACTCAAGTATAGAATTACAAACGCATTCCCGACGCTGAGTAGCGAACAAAAAAGAAAGGGTTTGTGTAGATTTATGTAAGCACTGGTAATAAAATCATGAAGTTGTATATCACGGTTGATTACAATGCCAACAAATATTCCAAATTATTGGTTTGAAATGCTTCATTTTACCCTGTCAACATTTTTGTACGCAGCTTCTTATAGGCAGCTACTCGCCTGTATAGTTGTAACTTTTGCAATGGCAACATACCTCACCGGTGTATCGACTTTATTTCCATGGTTGCATCTTGTAAATTCCCAGCACTTCGTTATTTATATATTTTACTTTTGTCTGCACTAAAATAGATATGATACATAGCGCTTTTTCTTGGCTTAGTTCCAGAACGAATGGTTAGTCAAAGAACGGTATTTCCATCAAAATTGAAACTAGACATCGTAATCACTTGCTTTGCTTATAGACCTGAATTCATACTACAAAGAGAGTGAGGTCATTTTCAAGTCGATCAGTGACGTCTTCCAATTAATTACAAGCTAGTGCGATTAGGCAGACAACAGTTGGAAGATTTAAATTTACCCGCAATAATTTAACCAAGCAAAGTCCTGGAAAATTTCAACTTCAGACAAAATGTATTTTTATTCCTCTGAAACATAGGCGTCATGCTTTACAAGAGCATATTCGGCGAATCTTTCATAGACTTTAGACATATGTCATACAAAAATTTATTCAACGTCGGATATTACAATAAATGACGTTAGCTCTGACCAAAGTTGGAGAAAATAATTACAAAATCAATGTTCGGCTGCGTTTAACATACTACATTACATATGTATAGGTATCAGCCACATATAAACAATTAATCCCCCTCTATACCCAAGGACATACGGAGTTAGCAGAAAAACCTGTGTTATATGCATATAGTGATCATGTAGATAGACCACAAACGCACAATCTGGCTATTGAAATAGAACGGACAGAAGATTTTGAAAATAAGAATGAATTTCACATCTTTGTAAATGCAGATGAAATAATGCCAGGGACAGCGACCGGTATGGAGGTAAGCGACATTAAACCTGTAACGGTGTATGAAACGTATAAATCAATAAACGTTGATACGTTGATCGTATTCGCTTGAAACGATCCGGATAACATTTAAAAAAAACCGACACCGCTGCATTAAAGACAATTCCAAATTTATTTCAAGACGCGCACGCTTGTGTGCGTGTGTGTGTGTGTGTGTGCGCGTGCGCGCGTGCAGTGGTTCAGTCACTTCAGTACACGAGAAAGATAACAGAATACAAATTACACTGATCCAGATGAATAGATACAAAATATTAACGGATGATGATGAAACATATATTTAATTCAGTAAAGAATTCACAGTTGGAAATTTCATGAAGGAAGGATAATAATAACTGAAAAGCATAATCGGCTTTATAGATAACTTTTGGTTGATAGGCCAGTCTCTAGAACAGTTGCTTAAATATTTAAGGAATGACAAAATAAAATATTTTGGATCCGTGATATCTAAATAGCTGACACAAGACAATAGCGCATACGAATAGATAGGTAGTTTGATGCATTGGTTGAAACAGCTATACTATTCAAAGAAATATCATATTAAAGTCTAAATGACTAAAAAAACACAGAAAGGCAAAGTTAAAAGTTATTCGCTATATACTTAGACGCCAAAGACCCATTAAATGTAAAAGATTGTGACATGATTAAGTACATGTCGGTAACAGAGATGGAAATATTTGAACAAATTATATCTTGATATCTTTCCTTCATAACCTCAATTCATAACTCTACC